AAAGCCAGTAGCATAGAGAGGCCCCAGTCACACAAAAGCTGATATTGTTCTCCTGCTGAGCAAAAATCTCCCTTGTAAATCAAACGACATCTGCATTCAGAATCACCCACAGAAAGCGTCCCTGGAGAGGTGACCAAACTACTTGACTCAACAGAAGAAAGATTTCTCTTGTCTCTTTCAATGTAGGCAGCTGCATAAAATAGCAGCTTCTGGTTTTACTTTTTAGCAAACCTTGCTTCAAAAAAAAAACCTTTGATGCACCAATAGAGATGAAACACAAAGTGTAAAGATCTTACCCATTAGGCACAGCCTCAAAGTCCAGTATACTTTTCAAAACAAATAATCATTAAAATAAAATCTTTTGTCATGATACAGGAAATAGTGCAATATCAATGTCTCTAAAATTAGTAACCTCTTTACATTTATTTCCAATTTCTTTATCAGTACTGCTGACACAAGACAGCAATGCACCCCAGGATCTCTTTCATGAAAAAGTCAATAAAAAAATCTTAATCAAAGCATTTCATAAGGCCTCTCAAAATCCATCAGTGGTAATAAAAAGTTGCTTCACTGCTTAAATTTAGCTCTGTTTTTTCATGAAGTTATTTAAATACTTAACTTTATTACATTCTTTATTATCTAAATTGGACACCAGAATGAAACAATCTATAAAGCTTTATACAGGCATAAACCCAGACAGTTCTAAGTCACACACAGGAATGTCCTACAGCATGCACCAAAATTTTGATCATCACATTTCTAATAGAAGTGAGAAAAAGATAAAACCTGTCCAACTCAAAGTTACTCTTTCACTTTACAAGAAAGATCCACTATTAAACAATACATTTTTTTTAAGTAGTGAATATTTCTAAATGGTTGTTTCTAGAAGGCCCTTTCCTTTCCCCAATAAGCAAAATTAAGTTTTTAATAATAAATTGTATAACTTTTGTACAGGAAAAAACCACTTGACAGAATAGAGAGATTCTGTAAAATTATGAAAAAAAATCACACAATGAAACTATTTAATATGCCCACACCAGGATATGCTGGTGTATTGCAGGATTTGGCCCAGAGTGAATATAAATTACTTTGTAAGTAGCTGGCACCTTTCTCTCTCTTGTTTTGGACAGCTTTGGAACCCAAGTAAAGTGGAAGAGAGTCTTAAGATAGCTATCTAAACATACAAAACCGAATTAATTATAAACAATTGATGAAATGACAGGAACTCTGCTTTCTATGGCCTTCAGAGGTGCCTGTCTTCATAACACTTAAAGAAATACCGAGAAAGATGACTTATTTTGTGATCTATATTACCTGAAAAAAACCAACACGAGTAACTTGCATTATTAATAGAAAGATTGTCCTTTCTCTTTTTTTTTCTTTCATAAAAAGAGTTAGTTCAGAAGCAAAAGAAGGTATTTCAGCAGCAGCAGTGAACTATCATCATGTGCCTAATCTAAAAATAAGGATAAGCCTTGAGAAAGAGTAGGAACATAAGAACAGTTTTAACTGTGGAAAAAGGCCAAGGAAAAGGAACAGTAGTTTTAATGCAAAGTGACAGCCACAACTTCATAACAGATTATAAAATTCCTATTTAGTGGAATATAATGCTTTACAGGTAACTTGTTCCGGTGGCCTCTTTAACCTCAAATACTCTGAGAGTAATAAACAGTTTTGCTCTTAGAACTTCATGCAAGTATAACTCATGATTTTTTCAGAGTTCTGAGAGAAACTGGAATAGTATCAATGCATAAACAGAAATCAACCTCCCACATTCAAATTACTGAAATGAAAAAGCTACTCTTTCAAATAATACTGACTGTAACTTGCTTCAAATATGTATCTAATGACATTGCAATATTTTAGAATTTTATTTGTTATTATTCTAATCAAAGTATTTTTGGGAAGATTCTATCATCCCCCTTCCACATAGCATAATAAAACAAAAATGCTTTTTGATAGTGTTTTGTCCTCACAAATATGTTATTATAGGGTGCATTTAAATGTAGCCTTTTCTCTTTAAGAGAACGACCATGGCTTTCAAGTAAAAGAATGGCAAAATGGTATGAATTCACTGCAGTTTTTTCTTGTTTAAAAGGCTATAGCAGATCATCAGAGAAATAGTAGATCATTAGTGAAGTACTATGAACCAGACTAGTACTGTAAAGAACAGACAAAAGCAAATGCATTGAAGAAGCATGAGTTAATGTCTGGTAGACCTGTCAAACAGCAAAATACTTAAACTAAGGCCACTTGGTTTACCAAAGCCCAAGAGTTATACGACAACATAATAATGGTTAATAAATATCTAAAACCTTCCGGCATGCGTGACACAAGTGTTTCGGTTCTTATTATTACGCTCATGTTGTTCTCTTCCTATCCAGATTTTTATTTATCATTCATATTATCTGATCTGCAGCATGCAATATAAAAAGACAGTGCAATTTAAGCATCTGGAACACAAGCTAGATGAACTTACGCTCAGAAAAAAGATTCATATTTTAATGCAAATTGCAAGATGAGTTGTTGGAGACACAATTCAGGAAAGTCATGAGCTCCTCATCCCTTCTTCCTGCATGCTTCAAACAATTTTATCCAATGACTGTTTAACGTAAAATGCATAAACAGTTATCAAGAACAAAGATTACAACTGTAGAATCTTGTGCCAGAGCAATGCCTTCATCACTTAACAGCTAACTATGGTTTCTTGAATCCTATGGGCAGTTACGTTGTGGAGAAGCTTTACCAAAAGGCTTATACTCTCATACAGGTCAGTTCAGAACCCTGCAGCTGGGTCCTCTTCTGGGAGGAACTATGTGTGGATTTGGATCCTTCAAAGTTGAAGGATGCACAAAATGCAGATGGCCCCCTATATTCACCAATCACTAAACAAATTGTAGTAAGTGTAGAAATTATCTACCACGTTTTAGTTTGGACACCAAAGGAATCATGGCACCACGCGTTCTTGTGTGATCTGATCCTGCTCAGGCAGGGGGATTGGACTAGATGATCCTTTGAGGTCGCTTCCAATCCCTAACATTCTATGATTCTGTGATTACCATTACATTCAGATCATAACCCTGCAAAAACGTATATATCCCTAACATTCTATGATTCTGTGATTACCACTACATTCAGATCATAACCCTGCAAAAACGCATACAGGAACTAAAACTTTCAACAATTTTTCAGAAACTCTTCTTTAAAGTTTCTACAACTATAATCATCTACCTGAAGATCAGACAGCTGGAATGACTTCTATTCCTGCATGTCTTTCACTGGGTAAAAAGCACAGACGTACTGTTAGATTTGTGACATTCACTGAGGTGTTTTTAAGACATAGTAATAACATGGTCATCATCTATATGGTCACATGAGCATTTTGGTTGGATTCAGGAGGGTATTTTTGAAATGAATCTTCAGATTATGCCCACCTACCATTCTTTGGTTTTCATTGTGCAGTGTTACCACAGTATATGTTACTCTCAAATGACACTAAAATAGAAGATGCTGTGCAACTACCAGTGGTTATTCAGTCCACAGGACTGCAGTATAGCTAGTAAAAAGAAAAAGCCCTCAAAACACACAGAATTTTTGACACTGGGTCCTCACTGTCAACTGCTTTGCTCTACAGACCTGCTATTGTTATGTTGCAGTACTTGCTAATGTGGACATAGCCTATGCCTCTGTGGATTTGGTTCCATCATCGAGTTTTTTCTAAGTGGAACATGTAGATTGCTTTAGAAAGTTTGTCGTGCCTGAAAGCAAGTCCTGTCTTTTCAACATGAGGTATCCATGTATGTCAGAAAAAATCAGGGCAAGTTCTCCCTGCTTCTTTTTGACCTTTATTTTGGATCCCAATATTGTGTAGACACAGAAATCAATGACAGCATGATACGCTCTTGACCGTCAATGAGGGTCTTGGCACTCAATGTGAGGGATGGAATGTAAGCCTGAAGTGATGCTGAAGGTGCCTGTCTTTGCAGAGAGTTGAAGTCAAGCAAATACTTCTACCTCAAAACTATACATATGTTTTCCCAAATTCACGCAATTTTGGAGAAAGTACAATGTATTTGCTTGTTATGTCTTCTTGGCTAAAAAACTATTGGGAAATATAGACAGGATTTCTGTATGTGACAAGACAACAAGAAACCGTGACACCAGGAAGTCCTAAAGGCACAGAAAGATAAGTCGCGTGCAAGCATTTTTCTCTCAAACACCAGACTACTTGCTTTTCAAAATTATTTTTGCAAAATACAGAACTTTAGTTTTCTGGAAGAAAAAAAAAAAAAAAATCTATGAATCATCTGATATCACAGTTGATCGGTATGTGTAGCCAGACAGTGAACTATGCTTATAGATAGTGAAGAAATGGGAACCAGATCCTGATTATGCCTACCAGGAGGCACTAACCTGCATCTTCCAGATATGTAATTTTTGCACACTTTCTTGTGGAACACTCACTGCTGTCTTATGGAGTAATAGCTCTCATGAACCACAGAATAATACAGATTTAAATGACTAAGCCTATTACATACTGTGTTCAAGAACAGGAGAGAAATAAGCACACCTAGGTGTTTCACTCAAAAAATGTAATACTTGTAAGAACATCCATAGAATTGGTCTAAGATTATTACCTTACTTAAAAATAACAAAAAAGGAATGAATCTGTAGAGCTATAAAGTTACAATTTACAATTAAAATAAAAAATAAAATCCAGCCTTTATCAAAAGAAAAAATACTATTCTGATAAATTATTTTAAAGCAAAGCTATTAATTCAAACCAAGTCATTAACAACTTACATATTCTAAAATATTCTGTATGTATAGTCCTAAAATGTATTTTGTCAAAGCCCTAGTTGATTGTTACATTCCACACATAAATGAACTCATTTTGGTATGAAACAAAAAAAGAGAATATATTCAGGATAATACAAAATATTATTCAATGAATAACAGATATAGAAACGCATTCAAAATGTTTAGCACAGAAAACTTACATCTAGTAGCGTGTGAAGATGCTGATCCTGGAAAACACTGTGAAGAAAATCTAAGTCTTTTTCGCTGCAGTCTGTAAGTGCATGAATTTCTTCCAGGCTGTCCAGGACCTGTGAGACTGCTCCTATGGGGCAATAAACAGGAAAAAAAAAAGAAAGAATAAAAATCCATAAAGAAAAGACTCACGGTAAACTGAACTTTGGAAAAGGAAACTTTCACTTCGTCTGGTACAACTGGAACAGGAACTTTAAAAAGTTGGAGCTTTTACAGGAAAACTTAGTGAATAAACTTTACCTATATCAACAGTGCTCATATATAGTGCAATTAAACCATTTCTTAAGTATCACTGAAGAGAGCTTAAACCCTGCTTTTATTAAGCTTAGCTTTGTTCTATTTTAGTTTGTTTTCCAATTATGTCTTTACGAAGTTACTTGGATTATCTGCCCAACTGCCTGTCCTCACCATTCTCACCCCAACCTTCTCTCTTTTCACTTTTTGAACTGCTGACCAATTTCAAATACATATTCCAAATCAGTAAAAATCTGAAAGAACCAACACGCTCACAAATTCTTTTAAGATCAGCATCTGGATAGAGGAGGGAAGAGAGAGAAAGACCTGTCTGCTGTGTCCTCTGGAGAAGAAAAAAGGCTGTAACATGAGCTCCGGTTTTTGTTCTGTTTGTTCTGCTTGCCTGGTCATCTCAGACCCAGTTATAGCACTTGCTGCCTTTTGACCAGTGGATTGTTTTGGGTCATAGGAAGATGGGGATGATTTTTATATGGCATAAGGGTGAAAAGAGAAGTGAAGGATATGGGGACAAAAAAGGAGAAACAGGAGGCATTATGGAAGGTGGAAGTCCATGAGGAGAGTTGAACTCACAGCAGAGGAGGATACAGAAACACAACATAAATCTCTAGTAAACCAGTCCATATTGGTTCCTTGTGGAAAAACTTGTTTTATAAAACCAGATATCAGTGGTGGCTGCTACTTGTGTACTAGAATGCCAACTTTGGCTTTTCTAAACACCCACAGCCCATGTATTCAGTTTTTCCACAACAGCATAAACATATGGAAAGACAGTAGCATATCCAGTGTTAGTCTGCAAAAATGCTAGTGTCTGACAGTAAACCGCTGAATGCCTTTTCATAAAAAAATTCTTAATTCTGGATACAGAATTCTACACATTCTGTATTTGACCAATTTCTCCTTAATATGTTTATTCTGTTTACTTATTCGTTTGCCAGTGTCCTTTTGTTAAGATAGAGAATATCTAAAAAATCGCTATATCTCTTGAAATTCCATCCTCCACTGTATGAACAATTCTTACCAGCCTTCCTTAACTCAAGCCCTTTTGTAATCTACTGCATTTTCAGAACGTAATAAAAACAAAAACCCCAACCCTCTCTTAACGACACAAGGAAACACATTAAATTCAGTTATTTATCTGAAAACCTTGAAAAACTGGAATAAACATAACAAAATACACAAAAACTACTCTACAAGACTTGTGACCTCATGGCTTAGAAGGATGAGTAAATTACAAGTCTAGAAACTCTTGCATCACATTTAGTACAAACCTCAACCTAACATTCCCCTCACAGTTCTTTGTACACCAAGGTTAAGAACCACAGTATTCCCCTCACTCACAACTTACGGTTCAGGAGCAATAAGGCTTCTTAGTCCTCTCCCATTAAATGTGTCTGACTACTTCTTTCCAACTGATGTATTAAGTTAGGTTCCTTTAAAAAAGTATTGGCTGATCAGCAAATAAAACTAACGGTTTGCCTTATCATAGTCACTGCACATGTGGTCAGGTGCACTGAAGAAGACAAAAAACTGCTCTGCATTTGATAACAAATAAGCATGCTCAGCTGAAAGGAACTGCCCACATTCCTCTGCCTACGCCACAGCTTCCACACCACGAGACATAGCAGGAAACCTGAGAAAATGCAAGGACTGGGAATCTGCTGGTAAGAGCAAGGATTGCTCACAGCTAAACCTCTAAGGCAAGGAAGAAAAACATTACCTAGGGACTCAAAAGGGACCACGCTGAGATTCTTCTAACAGTTTCAGTATGTTGATTAAAAGTTGATGATCTTAGAGATCTTCAAGCCTGAAGGAAAGTCCTTGACTTTCCAAGATGCAGTTGGCAGAAGGAAATCTGTTAGAATTCTCTTTTATCTTGATTCTTGTCACGCTCAGAGTTTAAATCAATTATTTTCTTTCCTAGCAAAACTTCGCTTTCTGGGTTTAAAGCCCTTTCTGTGTATTTGGAGTGTTTACTTTAAAGAAAACTCAAGAGAAGATTCACTTCAGAGGCTTGGATATCTCAAGAGTCTCTAATACTGCTCAATGTTGCTCATAAACACTAAAACTTCAGCCAAAACCAGAACCAATGAAAAGTATGTTCAAAGTTGTCTGCAGTACTGTATTATTGTGAAACACTGAATGGTCTAGATCTCCACTTATTTGACATTATCATTTACTTTGGGAATGTTATTTTGTGGAATACTTTGAGGTCTTTCAAATAGAAATACAAATTACTATTTTTTAATATTTGCATCTCAACAACTTTTTGATTATCTGGGAATTCCAAAACATCAAGCTTTGTTTATTAGGTCTTTTTTCTCCTGTCCATTGGTCACATTCAAGTTTCTGAGAATACCCTTAACAAATCTGATGAGAAATTCTGACAGTGACTTTACTAATCCCTCAAAATCACAGTTCTACCGTATGTTTTTTTACCTCCAATCTTATGCTGTATCTACTGCCATCTCTTTCTCATGCTCCTGCATGAGAAAAAGGCATAGTAGCAATATACTGAGAGCATGTTGTTGCGTAAAGAAATGATGGAACAGTTCTACAGTGTCATGGTTTAACTCCAGCTGGCAACTAAGCCCCACACAGCTGCTCGCTCACTCCCCCGCAGTGGGATGGGGGAGAGAATCAGCAAGGTAAAAGTGAGAAAACTCATGGGTTGAGATAAAGACAGTTTCATAGGTAAAGTGAAAGCCAAACACACAAGCAAAGCAAAACAAGGAACTCATTCACCACTTCTCATCAGCAGGCAGGTGTTCAGCCATTTCCAGGAAAGCAGGACGCCACCATGTGTAAGCACTACTTGAGATGAGAAGTGCCATCACTCCAAATGTCCCCCCACTTCCTTCTTCCCCCGGCTTTATGTGCTGAGCAAAAATCAGCACATATAGGCATTTCTGTGAATGCCTAAACTTTCACCGTTACAGGCTAAAAGCCTAAAAGTACCTTTCAGAAGAGTTAAATTCGGATAAAAGGTACTAATATAAATGAATATAAAATAAAATTAACCAATCTTTACAGCACATCTGTCCCTAGAAAGATGCATATTCTATCATATTTAAGCTAAATTTCTAACCTTTGGGGAAAGTGTAAAAGCACTCAATATTTATAATTAAAGCTTGTATCCTCTAGAAATAGGATTTAATTTCTTTTCATCATTGCAAATGCACCCATTTTAGCCTCAGCATAGATAATAAAGAAAGGACTTAAGTGAGTTATTATACAGTCATACAACCTAAAAGCTCAGATTTCTCATGGTCTGTAGCAGTTATAAACAGAATGTATAAGTACAAAAATTACAATGATGCATAAATATTAAGAAACCAGGAAAAAAAGGAAGCCTACTAACTTGACTGGCTTTGTTTGGTTGGTTCTTAAGACTCCCTAAAGCAAATTTTGTTAGAAAATGCTGCTCTTTGCCACAGAATTTTCAAGTAGCCCCACCACTTAGGTGAGATGAATCTCAACCTGCACCTTACGTTACTATAAAAATATATACACACACAATTGTGCAGGAAAGGTTGTAATTCCAGTGATACAAGTAGAAGACTCTTCTCCACAGTAACAGTAACAAAATCTGCACCAAACATGGTTCTGTGAGAAGACTGTGGTAACTGTGGATACTACTGTAATTGCACATACGTTCTCAGCATGCAGATGAGCAGTGATATTCTTGGCCATGAACATAACCTTGTCTTTCTTGTATTCCCATAAGACTACCTAAGAAAGGATGACTGCAACTCTTCACAGTTCCCTTGGTGCTGACAACTCAGAAAAATTGAAAACTATAGGCTCTCACTGTATTAAAAAAAAAAAAAAGTCAGAATGCTTATGACAGTCTTCTGCAATCAGTTCTAGTACATGAAATATTTTTATAATTAGTGGAATGACTTCTTAAGGATGATACCAAATTGCTTCTAAGCAGATGGAGATGGACTGAGTAGCTTCCTGCCTACTGAGGCAGATCTATTATTTGTCAGACATATTTGCTTTGTAAGGCAATAACTCGTGATTATTTCTTCACCCGGTGTGCAGTCAAAGTTATTACAGGTGTTTCCTGCAGGTTCTGTTACCTCGTTTATGGAGATGGCCATTCAGAAATAGTTCTCTCTTATAGCCAAATTCTATCTCTACAACCTTTGTACTTCTTACACAGTGCCCTTAATACCACCTGAAGTTGGTATGGACACTGGTTCATGAAGTTGAAAGTAGATAAAGCTTTGGTAAAATAGAGCACTGTTATTACATCCTGACATCTAGCTATTCTAATCTGGAACAGGAGGTTTGGCTAGAGAAACTGAACTTTAGAGGTAGGTAGCAGTTGCTTACTTTGGCCCAGAAGAGGAGAGATGAGAATAAAAGATAATAAAGGCAATAAAAGAAAAGAAATCTTTAAAATACTCTTCCAAGAATTGTCTACATATTGTCTTCAACAGTAATGTGCCTCCACCACAAAACACCCCAAAAGTTTGCTTGTCTGAGGCTCAGCAAACAAGGCAGGTACAACTGACCTCCTCGCTTGTGCAGCAGGCAGTACAGAGAATTATCAGCTTCTTTTCATGCAGCAGTGATCTGTGACAGTGTATGACTAAGAAGACTCGCATCTTGCTGCAAAACACAAAGACTACATTCTGACTACAATCACATTCTGAGAGAGGGTAAAAGAATTCTTTGTTCTATTTTTTAATACTGAAGATGACAAATGCTCATTTAAGTCTTGGTCAGTCATAAACCTTCTTCTGAGAAATGAAAACTTGTTAGAGGAAGCCTGACCTTGTTTAAATACAACACTATAAAACCATGACCTTTTTGCAAGTCTCCTGCAATAAGTATTCCAGGAAATGACTCTGCAGAGACCTTGTAACAACCATTATAAAAATAACGGTATAAGATTAAGTTCCTGACACCAACCACTCATTTTAATCCCGTTCACTCTTATAAACTACCTTTGTTTGGATCAGCTTTTCAACTATTCCAACTATTTCAACTATGCCTTGAAGACTTTTACAGTGGTTTCTACATATGGTTTTTACATGACTAACCAAAGCTTCGCTGCTATTTGTGATTTCTCTGTATATCACTGTATATTCAGTTCTTATGCCAGTCAATCTACAATCAACACAGGCTGATTTCTCCCAGCTTCATCTCTTGGCTGCCTTCTTGTGTGAAACCACTGGAGATTAAATTAAAAAACAATCCTGGCTCTCAAAGCACAGGCATTTCAGAAGACAGGATTTACATTTGACTTTGTTTATGAAGAAGTTTGAGTCTAGCACACACAGCAAGGACAGAAGAAAAACCATCACAAATTGTTAGAGAGATCAAATATTAGAATTACTAAGTGAAGTCACTGGATAGAATCTCAGAAAAAACAGCATGGGTACTACTATAAAGTGCAGTTATTTTCAGAAAAAAAAAATATTGTGAGATTCTGATAGAGCACAGCTGGTGAAGTGACAATGAGATAATTTTTACCAACTCTTGCCATGTGAGATTCAAGTTTCATGCATTTTATTTATTTTTTTATGTATGACATAAAACAAGGATTCTTTTCTTCTGCTTAAAGACATTTGAACCTTTAAACCACCTACTTAGTGATAAGTGTATAAATCAGTGCCTCCAGTAGTTTGTTTTGCTGGTATCTGATTATGATACTCTAAAACAAAAGGCATAAATATTTAACACATCAGGTAACTAAACACTGTATCAAAATGCTGTGGAAATGAAGTGGTGTTTGTCAGCTAAGGTTTTGAATCACAATCACATACACATTTAAAACCGTTCACTTTAGCCAAACATGAAAGTCTAGGCTCAATATCAGCATAATTACAAAATACTATGCCCACATACAAGGCCAGGTTTGCCTTAGTAGCAGTGAACAGGAGTTAAAAATGTGTAAGAAAGAACATCTCTATTTCCTCTTGGTCTTGTAAAGAAAATACTAAACATATGCTGTTTCCATTAAAGGTGAGAAAAGAATCTTTTACAGAGATGAGACCTTTCCACTACTTGTGTTGATGTAACTTCTTAGATTAAGAGAAAGCCAGCTGAGGACCAGATGCTCTTCACCGCTTTAAAAAACATCTGTAAGAATCACTGGAGTTGAGATGCCTCTAACTTCACACAGTAATTTGTTGCTCTTTGCTGTTCACTATATTCCAGAGCAACTACCTGTGTCAGGACAGATGACAGCCAAAGCATGTGTATATAGATGCCTGTAATAGTTTAAAATAAGGTGGGAGATATATGTTACACATATATACACAACAGTGTAATTAAAACAAAAGGCAAGTAAGGACTCTATCCTCCTCAAATTTAAGCTATATAGTGTTTAAATACTTCTTCCTTCTTGGATAGAAACCAAATAGCCAAGTTTAGACACTCTAAATTTACAAATAAGCTCCTACACACATGTAGTTCTGTGAATGCTACTGGGAAGCAATTAAGACAGTAATGACATATATATATAGTGTAATTAAAACAAAAGGCAAGTAAGGACTCTATCCTCCTCAAATTTAAGCTATATAGTGTTTAAATACTTCTTCCTTCTTGGATAGAAACCAAATAGCCAAGTTTAGACACTCTAAATTTACAAATAAGCTCCTACACACATGTAGTTCTGTGAATGCTACTGGGAAGCAATTAAGACAGTAATGACATATATATATACACA